TTCCCATGTCTGATGTCATCTTCCCTTTCCAGCAAAAGCGGATTTCCTGCAGGAGCTCTTTAGAAGCATTAGTATTAATTGCCACCAGGAGGCAGAAGTGCAGTACACCTGCTCTCTATATGAACAGGTGCTATCTGGTAAAAGGTCTGCTGGGCCTTTGGAGTGAGGCTTCAGCCCTGAGTGTCCCTGAGGCCAGGGGCACTTTACACACTATGGCCAGTGTGACTGAGACTTATGAGCTTTGCAAGAGCCAACAAAATGTTTGAATCAAAATAAATAGATAGATGCCTTTCTATAGGTATATGTGTATGTCAGCTCTAAAATAAATGTGCAAAATGAAAATCTATAAACATTTAAATGAAAATGTCTAGAAATAAAACTTTGTGAATTTCATTCATTGTTAAATTTAGTATTAATAAAAAATCATTACTTGTTAAGCAATTTTTAATATGTATATTTTCCTCAAGAATATGCTCTGTAATTGCAAAAAAAAAAAATCATTGCTAAAATCAGGTGAATGTACTACTTATGTCCTAATTGAAAAAACAAAATTTTGAAAAACTTTTTCAAAAAATTTTCAGCACAAATTATATTTAACTGGTCTGCACATGCATTTTAATATGTTTGATACGATGTGGAAGGATGATTCCTCTATCCTACGACAGAAAGAGAACATTTCAGGGGCTGTGAACAGACACACTCCATTTCCATCAAGTCTCTGTCTATTTTTTCTCAAATACTCCCTCGGCTCTAAAACAACATGCACATTGCTTGAAAGAAGCATCTATGTGGAAATTTTAAAAGTTCAAGGAAGGCCAGTTAATCCCAAGAGGAGATGGAGGGAGCATGGTCTGGGATGGAGCAGCTGCTTAGCTTGGTGAATGCCTTGTGGCCACAGGGATTAGAACCTGGCTCTAAGGCCTCTGGGCTCAGAGCCACCATGAGAGCACATCCTTCTTGACTGGCAGACTCACCTCTGCCAAGCCCAAAGACTGGGATTGGCATTCCTGATTCCAGTTCATCTGTTTACAGCAAGAAACACAGTTGCTAAAAGTACTAGTCCCTCATAACCCTCCGCCTCTTCCTGGAAGCTCTCTAGCAACATGGATCCTGACAATGGAGTCTTCTAAGGGCACAAGTGGGCTCCACATTTTTCAGGGCCAGAATCTTCTGTTGAGGTTGGAGGTGGGAATCAGAAAGGCCACTCTCTATGGCTTCCTTCCTCCCCTTTTGGGTAGTGATCCATACACCCTGGCGCCCTTTCTTCTCTGTGAGGTGTGAGCTGACGCTGAGTTGAACCTAGCTAGGTTTAGTCCCAGCCCTGACTATTTCTAACTGCATAACTGTTGAAAGCTCCATTTTCTTGTTTGCTATGAGCATGATTATAACTATGTCTCCATAGTCACAGATCTGTGTAGAGATTACATCAACCTGTGTGTATTAAAGGAGAGATCAAGTCATTGAATTCTTTCAAGAAATAATTATTGAATGCTAGGCACTAGTTTAGGCAAGGAAAGAAGAGGAACAAAACAGGCACATGTAATATTGATGAATTTTACTAAATTCCTCTCCACTGGGACTGTGCCCTTTTGCATTCCCACCGGAAAGTGGGAAAGTGCCTACTTCCCCACAACTTCATCAACAATATCTATTCTCAAACTTTTAGATTTTTGCCAAGCTGATGGTGAGAAATGGTATCTCAGTATAGTTTTCATTTGTGTTTCTATTATCATAAACAAGGTTTAGAATATTTTCATACATTTAAGGTTCGTTCGTCTGTGAACTGTTTATATTTTTTGCCCGTTGTTACTTCTTATTTTGTGTTTGTGCTTCTCACTCACACCTTTTTAAAAATTAGGTTGGTTTGTGGTTTCCAACTTTGCTGATTTTTTTCAAAAGAGTTATTTACTTATTTATTGACTTTTTTTTAAAAAAAAAATTTTTTTTTTATTTCGGCATATTATGGGGGTTTATTTATTGACTTTTAAAAATTTTAGTTAATTTCTCCTTATACTTTTATTAATTTTTCCTTTTACTTTTTTGTTTTCTTCATAGATATTTTTCTAGCTTTTTGACTTGTGTATTTAATTCATTTATTTCAATTTTTATTGTAGTTAGGACTATGAATTTTTCTTGCGGCATTCTGTTTCTACAGATTCTTTTATGTCTAGTTTACTTATCATCATTTTCTGAGAGTTCTGTGATTTTGTTTTCTATTCATCACCTTTTATCCAAGATTAGTGTAATAGTGTGTGTGTATGTGTGTGTGCTAGTAATTTCCAACAACAACCACCACCACAACACAGATTTGCTAAAACTCATCAATATTTCATGTGCCTGTAAAAATGCTATTTGTATTATTTCTATTATTCTTAATGCATTGAGGTTTTCTTTGTGGCCTGATATTGAATATTCCATATGTAGAAGATATAATTTTATTTTTAGGTTAATAATTTGTTGGGTTATATGTATAAAAGAGTTCTTTATATCTTGTTGGTTGTGCTTTCTTCTCTACACTGTCTTGAACTGAGAGAGGTGATTAAAGTGCAATATTATTATTACTATGTCGTTTTCTTTAAGTTTGTCCTTGTGTCTCCTGTAGTTTCTGCTTTATCAGAGTTGTGCTACAATATTGAATGTATAGATATTGTAGAAGCTGCCATATCTTTACTGTGAAATTTCAGCCTTTTGCATATTTAAGTATTCTTCTTGGTCTTATTTAATGCTTTTTGACCTGGCAGGGATCAAGAGCATGACCCCTGCTTTTCAAATTTTGTTTTAATTTTCATTTTCCTGATATATATTAATTCAACTACCTGTTTAAAAATTTTTTTCTGATTCTCTTTGATTTGGATGTTTCTTGTAAAGAGCAGAGACTTTACAGAGCTAATATGAAAACTTGCTCTTTTTAAAGTGAGTTAAGACCTTTGCATTGTTTTTTTAACTATGTTGACCTCAGTCTACATACTCTTTTATGCCCATTTATGCAAATATATATATATATATATCTTATATATAAATAAAATTCACTGTATTGTCTGTTTTATTTGCTGCTTTTTCTGGAATATCTTTTGGTGTTGAGGGAAGTTTGTATTTTTATTCTAATGTTACCTTTATGGTATATCTTTGTGTCATATGTATCCTGTATCTTCCTTTGTCTTTAATATGTTCTATTCATTCCCTACTCTAAGTAATACTGGAATTTGGGGGGAATTGTTTTTACCCTACCCTCCTTCTTTCCTCAGTATCTAATTTGAAGTCATATCCTTTTACTCTCAGTTTGTCCATATAAGCATATACTTGCATAAGACAATCAGTGAACTTACTCTACTTTCCATATACTTTTTCCTTCTCCCTTCATTTTTTTGTTAGCTGTATTGCATATTTTCAGAGCATATAATGTTAAGTGCTACTCTGTCACATTTATCTATACTATTTAGTATTAGTTCTATAGTAAAATATATTTAAATGTGCATAATCAGATTGTATGCCAAATGCTTCTATGATTCTGTGTGTGTAATGTTGGGGAAGGGGCGGGGCTTATTCTCTAGTAGATTCCCTGGGAAAGGTTTCTGGGAACAATATTTCCTGCTTCTTTGCAAGTTCTTTGCTGTTTTTCTTTGGCCTTTATACTTAAAGGCCAGTTTGGATGGATATAAAATCAATTTGTCCTCAGAAAGACAAGGTTACCTTTCACACATGCTTACCTCTTACTGCTCTGGCTCCAGCTGTGGGGTTTTGTGTGTGTGTGTTAGTTTTCTATAGCTGCTGTAACAGATTACCATAAACTTAGTGGCTTAAAACAATAAAAAGTTTATTCTTGCACAGCCATGGAGGTCACTAGTCTAAAATCAAGGTGATAGAAGGGCTACATTCCTTCTGAAGGTTTTGGGGGAAAATTCCTTGCCTTTTCCAGATTCTAGAGTCTGCCCACATTCCTTGGCTTGTAGCACATGGCTACAACCGCTGGTTCTATCACCATATCTTTTACTGACTTTGACCCTCTTGCCTCAACTCTTATAATGACGCTTGTGGTATACTGGGCTCACCGAGATAATCCAGAATAACCTCTCCTCTGAAAATCCTTAACTTAATCAAATCTGCAAAGTTCCTTTTGTCATATAAGGTAACATATTCCCGGGATTAGGACATGGGTATCTTTGGAGGCTGTTATTCAGTCTATCCTATTTTGTTTTTTCTTTGGAGATTTCCCTTACCTCCTGTAAACCAACAATGCAGTGAAAAGTATGCTTTATGTAGGATCAAGTTATTTTATTGTGGGATGTTTCTCAGAGGATCTAGCCTTCCGTACTGCCAAAAGCACAAGTCTCCCTAAGAAATTTCTAAGGGATATTCATAGGCTTCACTCCAAACCTTTAGAATTAGCCTCTCTAGGGTTAGGTTTATAACTCTTTATTTTAAAAACTACTCCCTGGTGATTCTTATGATAAATCAGAATTGATAGTTTCTACTTGGTAACTTATTCATCCCCAGTGGGTCGGGAGGGGGGAGGGGATGGGCTCCGGCTCCTGGCTCAGTGCCTGGCAATACATGCCTTCTCCCTGTCCCCTACACAGCCCCTGGGGCCTCACTGCGTCCATTGGTACCTTAAGTTAGCTTTCCTCTGTGACCTTACAAATGAAGATGTTTGACACTCTAGAATTAGAAATCGTGAAAACTCAGGAATAATTTTGCCTATCTAAATCCCAGTTGTCCTTTAAGGGCCATCGTAAGAAAGCATCTTTGGATCGAAACCTTTCCTGATCCATCTCTGCCAAGTATTAAGTATGAAATCTCCTATCTATGACTCTTTCTAACTCTTGGAATCTTGCATGGTATTTTCTCAACTAGATGCTCTTCAAGGGTAGGGGCCATATCCAGTTCATCATCATCATAACCCCATATCCATTAGCCCATCACGTCAATAGCAGGTGATTGAATGAAACACAGAGGTCAGTTGCTTGAGAAGATTTTATTAGGGTAGATGGAGCAATAGATGGCAGAGATAAAAGTAGTCCAGAAAACCCCCTGCAAACTGAGGAGAATTTTGCACAGTGGGCTGACTTGCTCCAATGTCTTCCTGCTTCTGAGAGGGTCTGCACCGCAAAGCAGGTAAAAGAGGAGTTTAGGATAGAAAGTACCTTGCAGAAATGATCTCATTGAGAAAGACCTAAAAGGGAAGCACCATGATTAAGAGCTGATGTCCAGGGACATACCAACTGGACTGGCCAGGGCAGAACAAGTCAACCTCTCTGCAGCTGTCTTCTTTGGTATTGGGCATTGGTGTCAGAGGGAGTTACGACTTGCTGCTTCTGAAGTAGGAATACAGCCTTGTAGCTGCGGTGCCTCGCTTGCCTTCTGGCTGGGCCGCACCTTGGCCCTGTGCTGAAGGGACACCGGTGTGCAGGCTGCCCTGGTCCTGCCTGTGGATCACTACCTCCCTTGTGTGGTCATCAACCCACTCTTCGCCAACCACTGCAGGCTCTCTCTCTCCCTGCCCTCCTGTCACACTGCATGTTGGGTGAGTGCTGCTCCAGTCCTGTCTTCCTGGCACGGTGGTTGCCCCAGCCTGGGCCTGTCCTCCCAGCACTGTCTCTCCTGCCTCATAGGTGCTCACCTGTGTCCATCTTTCACCACTGCCTGACTGCGTCTGGGTCTGTCCCTGTCCTGTAGCCCCTACATGGCTTAGAGTCTGGTGTCTATCCTGCTCTGCAATCTGGGTGTGTGACCCTGCCTGTGTCTGGACACGTCCCCCTGTCACTCCCTGGCTGGTCTGGCTCCTGTCTTGACCTTGGGTCTCAGTCCCTCTGTTCTGGCCTTGGGTGGACTGCTGTGTCTGGGTGCTGGTGCCTCCTTTCTGATGGCTCCTGTCCTGCTCCACGGTCTGGGTGTGTGACCCTGCCTGTGTCTGGACACGTCCCCCTGTCACTCCCTGGCTGGTCTGGCTCCTGTCTTGACCTTGGGTCTCAGTCCCTCTGTTCTGGCCTTGGGTGGACTGCTGTGTCTGGTGGCTGGTGCCTCCTTTCTGATGGCTCCTGTCCTGCTCCACGGTCTGGGTGTGTGACCCTGCCTGTATCTGGACACGTCCCCCTGTCACTCCCTGGCTGGTCGGCTCCTGTCTTGACCTTGGTCTCAGTCCCTCTGTCTGGCTTGGTGGACTGCTGCACTCTGAGTGGCTGGTGCCTCCTTTCTGATGGCTCCTGTCCTGCTCCACGGTCTGGGTGGTACCTGCCTGGGTCTGAGCTCCAGCTCCAGTCACCATCTCACCTGTCTGGTGTGCTCTGTCCTGGTCCCTGGTCTGTGACTGTGTCTCTGACCTCGTCTCTCTAGTCTGATGACTGTTGCTTTCTGTTACTCTCTGTGTCTGAACCCTGTGCCCAGGTGCTTGTGTCTGCTGGCTCGTTCTCTCCTGTCTCTGGGACTCAGCTTGCCTGTCATAGCTACTGACCCACATGGAGCCGATGTCCTGACCCTGGATCTGAGTCCCAGTCCCGCCCTGCCCTCCAGATGCCTGCTCTCTCTGTCCGTGGCCAATCTCCTCGTGATGCTGCCCTTTCCCCAACCTTCCCACTTGAGTGCCAGCTGTCTGTGTTCCCCCTGGCTCTTGTGAGGCCCCAGGGTGGAGGCTTCCAGATGCTTGAGAGCCACAAGCTCCCTCAGGACTCTCGCTCAGGGTCTTGAAACATGCCTGGGCCACTTTAAACGTCAAGACCAGGAATTCCTTGAAATCCACAGTCCCTGTGCCGTCTTCATCCAGCAGGCGCAGGACTTCATCCACGGTTGCCGGGTCGTGGGGTCTCTGGAGAAGATGAGGCTGAGTCAGTGTCCCTCCCCTGAGGAGGGCGTGGTTAGGCCAGTTGCAGGCTCCGCCCCCTCCCACCCCACCGCACTCCACACACACCACTGTGGCAGCACCCACACTTCGCTGCCTTGCCCTTCCTTCCTTCCTTCCTTCCTTCCTTCCTTCCTTCCTTCCTTCCTTCCTTCCTCCTCCCTCCTCCTCCCTCCCTCTCTCTTCCTCACTCCCTCCTCCCTCCTCCTTCCTTCCTCTTTCTTCTTCTCTCTCCCTCCTCCCTCCATCCTCCCTTCCTTCCTTCCTTCCTTCCTTCCTTCCTTCCTTCCTTCCTTCCTTCCTTCTCGCCTGTCTCTCTCCCTCAAGGATTGGAAGCATCTTTTATTTTGTATCCTCTGTCTGGTACAGTTTCTGGCCTACGGGACAATAGGATAAAGATTTTTTGAAGAATGAATAAATGATTGAGCTCACAAAGCAACTCTCTGGGCTTTAGGGTTGATTCTTTGATCTGTTCTTGCCCTGATGCCCCTGGCATTGAGGCCGCATTCTCTTCAGCCAGCCCAACTTGAAGAGAAGCACAGTGGGAGGCCCATGGGAATTCTGTGAGCTCTTCAGTGAGGCTCAGATGTTTTCCCAAGATAGAGTGGGTGCGGTGCAGTGGGACAGGAGGGCTGCCCTGGGCATGCAGACACAGTGTCCTGCTGTGCCACTCATCCTGTCCCCCAGGCCTTCAAGATCTTGGTAGTTTCTGATGCAAAACAAAGGCAGGAAAGTGCATCAAGGCCCTGGTTCTGCTTTGCCACAAGTAGGTGGGGTGGGCCTCCTAGAGTCTCCCCCTAGCTGTTAACAACTTCATTTCTGATGTGATTGGTTAGCTAATGTTTTTGAGCAACTGCTTTGTACAAGGCACAGAGCTATGCTTCTAATGAATGCTTATTAATGGATGATCAAATTTCAGATAGACATGGGAAATGTTTACTGTATCAAATTTAAGCAGCAGCAGAAAGCAGCAATTATCTTCATTTCTAGAACATTCCAGGGCTCTGCTCCTCTCTGAGCTGTCTGTTTAGAATCCTTTCACCTTGCCTTCAAATTAGAATTCATTAAAACCAAGGTCTTTTCTCTAAGGATCTGGGCCCGTGAATTCCTGATCGTCTGTTTCTCATTCTTTCGCTCTCTCCCTTTCGGCCTGCACAGCCACCATCCATAGAGCAGGCCTGGATTCCTCTGCTGCCCTCTTGAATTACCAGGCAAAGCCTCTGCAGGCACACACGCCGCCACTCTCCCGTCACATCCCTCCCCACCTGGCTCAACGCATCGTACCACGATCACATCGGCAAACTCATGCTCCAAGAGGTTTTTCAGCTCCCCTCGGTTGAGCACTGCACAGTCGCCCTCTGTCCTGGCGTAGCGTCCAAAGGCCTCGATGATCCCGTTAATGTTTTGCAGTAACTGAGGCATCTTGGAAGTCAAGCTGGAAAAGACGAGAAGCCCCCTTGGGGGCTCTGTAATCAACCTCAGCTGTTTCCTCCCGAGCACTTCGGCTTCTAGGTCTTTCCTTGCACATTCAGCTCTGCTTCTGGTCTGTCTTCCTTTGTCCTTTCCTAAGTGTTGTATTTTATGCATGGGAGGAGGAGCCCTCAGTGTTGGGAGGCAGGATCCTGAGTTGGGATTTAAATGCTGGCCATACCACCTACCCGTCATGTGAGCTAGGCCAAGTTTACTCCATGCCTGAGTTTACTCCATGCCTGAGTTTACTCACTATGCCTCAGTTTACTCATTATGAATGAAAGTCATATTAATACTTTATAGGACTATTGTGAATATTTAAAGAGATAATTCATAAAAAGCCCTTGGCAGATGCCTGGCTTATACTTGGGGCTAGCTATTAAATATCATTACTATGCTATTATACACACATATATACATATAATTTGTGTACATCTATATAAACTCTACTGCTCACAAAGCACTTTCCTGCATACCAGCTCTTGTAATCCTTATTATCTTCACTTTTTTATAGGTGGAGGAAACAGGTTCAGAGAAGTTAGGCCACACAGCTTTGAAGGGACCAAGAAATCCTAGAACCTGTCTCTCTTTAACTCAAATGCAATGAGCTTTCTAGAATGTACCTTGTGGACAGGGTTCATTTGTCTATCACAGGGTGTTAGGGTCCCATTAGGAACTCCAATAGGCAGTACGAACACATGTGAGTCAACCCCCGTCCTGGGTGGAGCCAAGCAGGAATTCCAGGGGCCTATTTCTGCCCTTTCTTGTTTCCTTTGAAAAGGTGTTCAGAAGTAGGCTGGGCTACCCCCGTTGGGAATGCTGAGGAGGGGGTGCCTTCCAGTTGTGAGAGTCCAAGTTTCCTTGCATGTGACCTCTGTTCTCAGGCCTGGCGCCTGTCAGAGAAGTCAGCTTGCCCAACTGGCAAGTGGCTTCATCAAGCCCAGAGTCCTGGTGACCTATGAGTAGGTTCCCAATCAAATGGGAAATTTTCTTTTTCATTAGCAACAAATCTGGAGGTAGGTTGAGGTGAGGCCTGGGTGTGGCTGGATGGGCAGGGGGCACAGAGACTTGGCGATACATTAAGCAGAAGCCTCAGAGAGACGGAAAGGAGGAGATGGCATCAAAGACGACAAGGTTCAAAAGCAAGGGGAGACAGAGGTCTGCAGCACAGGGACACCAGGGCAGGGATGACGAAGGCGTAAAGGAGAAATGCACGGAAAGAGGGGGAGGTGGTCGGAGAAGCAAGAGAGTCAGGGAAGGAAGGAGACTCGGGTGCTAGGAAAAGCAGGTCAGTGTGGACAGAAAGATTCAGAGAGTCACAGACCCAAGGTGGGCTGTTCAGGGGGAACCCTTTCTCAAACCTGGTAGCCAACAATTTCTGGCAGACTTTTTTCTCTTGTGTACATCAAGGTACAAAACTCAGAATATTGTTCCTCAACACAGATGAAAAATATCCTTTTATTTTTAAACAATGTGGCAGACTTCAACCACTTTATCTATACATAGAAAAAATAATATGATGATCTTTTACTTACACTTTCAGATACCTGAGAATAAATCTACACACATCTTGCCTAAATATCAGCCTGGGGTAGGAGAGAGGAGTCACATAAGTCCCTTCCTTCCTGAGACAGTTTGCATTACCTGGGTGGGCACAAGTAAACTGGTTCTGATCTCACAGACTTTCGGCACTAAGAAGCTTCCAGAGCCTCAGAAGCAAGAGACCTTTGCGGATCCAGGAAGGCACGTGGGTGGCTCCGTTGCTGCTGCCAGCTCAGTCAGTGAGGGCAGATGCCAGGCCAGCCTCAGGGGAGGAGGAGAAAGCCCGATTGCTTCAGGAGAGTATCTTTCCCGATGTCCTCCAGCTCCTGCTTTAGCCTGAGACCCACAGCCAGCACTGACAGCCTGTGGCTCATCTCAGACCCGAAGCTCAGCTCACCAAGACACTGAGAATGAGAAAGAGGAAGAGGGGACTTACCTAAGGCCCAGGCAGGAGAAGACAAGTGGCTTTTGAGCGGTGTGTGGAGTACCAGGCCAGCACGATGAGGACCTTTTATAGGGGATTTAATCAGGGCTCGTTTTTTTTTTTTTTGAGACAGGATGTCCCGCCCTATGGGAAGGCTTAATTCATTCAAGATTCTGCCCGGCCCAGCCCAGCCTCCTCTCTTCCCTGTTTCACCTGCTGACGCCTGGCTGCCTTGGTCTAATTAGCAGGCCCCTCCTACCACATTTGGTGCCCTCGCCTGCTTTGTCCTCACCTTTGTCAGGGAGGCTTCTTTCTGACGTGACGGGCTCTGCGGTGCTGGGCACAGGCCAGGGGCCTGGTGAACGTGCTGTGTGTCTGTGGAGTCTGAGAAGCCTTATCCTTTTTTACACAAACATTCGAGGACACATCCATCTCCTGAGGGTCATCCTTCCAAAGTGGCCGCTCCGGGAGGCTACACATGTTTTCCTGGTGATGTTGCTGTTACGGAGAACATTTTTCAAATTCCTGTTTTGGAATTGCCTTTCACACCTAGCACATGAGACACAAGAATGCTAGTCTCATTTCTTTATAGTTAGGTCTCATTTTTAATTAAAACCTAAAAAGGTTAATACCCTGCCCCACCCCGTGTATAGGTAGGTAGCATTTTACAGCTGCTGAGAGAAGAGGCGGAACATGATCACGTGCAGCCTCCTCATTGCAAAGACGGGGAGCTCAACTGGCCGACTAGTCAGCGAGCGCCCCCGGAAAGCTCGCTCTGTGTCAGACACTGGGCTCAGGCCCTAGAGAGACGGCACCGAATACGGGTGACAGCGGTTTCTACTCTCCTGGAGGTTACAGCCTGGCAGTCCCAGGGCAAAGTCCGCAAGAAGAATGATAATGGCAATTACCATTTCATTTCATTTCATTTTTGTGACCCTCACCTTTGGTTTTGTCCTCATGCCACTCCCGAGAGGTGGTATGGCCAAGCCCACTTTGTAAGTGAGAACACTGAGAGATCCTCTGAGCAGAGAAGGGTGGGCCTGGACTGGAGCCCCTCAGACTCGGGCCCTGGTTCTCTCTAACGCAACACGCTGCCACTCATTCTTCTCTCAGCGATGCTCGACACTTCAAAAATACTGAATTTATGCTCAATGCATGAAGAACCACCATGATTGAGGATGCTGAGAAGGAAGTTTTCTGAGCTCTGAAGCCAAGTCCCAAAGAGAGGTCCTAAAAGGCATTTTTGCAGGAAGTATATATAGCTTCTCGAGTGACTCTGGATGGGGAAAGCCACCTTTGGCATCCTCACTAATACGTCAGCATGCAGCGGACAGGAAAGGAATGGCCATCAGGATGGGAAGGCACGGTAAGGCCTTGGTTGCAGCAGCTGGCATAGTGAGGGCAGCCCTGCGGCACGGCACTAGCTCCGGCACGTCCAGTCAGGCTGCAGAGCACGGGTGAGTCCAGGCTGCGGGCAGGCAGGCTGCAGTTGGAGAAGTCTGTCCACGTGGGGAGGGCTTGGCTCCAGCCCTGGGGTGGGGGAGCTGGCCAGGGCTGAGCAGAGTAGGGGCTCCAGGCTTTGGGAGCAGGAAGGGGCTGAGGTTGCCATGGTGGGTGATAAGAGTTGGGAAAAGGCGGGTAGGAGAGAGGGAAGTTGCGGAACAAGAGGGAGTCCAATAGGTTAGACCTTCCTTCTGTAGCTTTATCTGAAAGGGCTTAGAACCTCCACAAAAGTTGGAAACTAAGGGAAATTAAAGGAAGTAACAAGCCAGGTGCTTTGTTCAGGAGGTTGCCATAGGGTAGGTATTAATACACCCAATTCATAGATGAAGAAACCAAGGCACAAAGAGGTTAAGTAAACTACCCAAGGTCACACACCTAGAAAGTGATAAATCTGAATTTGAACTTAGGTCTGCCTGTCCCCAAAGCCTACGTCTTTACATGTGCCTGGGGCAGGACTGAGCCTGCAAGTGGGGTGGGCTGTGAGGCGCTGGGGCACCGCAGTCGTGGTGGATGAAGTGCATGTGTGTGCTGGGTTGGGAGGAGTTGGCTGGCGTGTGTGGGAAGGGCTGGAGATGAGGAGGTGGGAGCGACTGGGGCTGACAGTCTCTAGTCGAGTGTACAGATTTGCTAGTTTGTAAATTGTATAAAGAGTTGTTTATAAATTAGTGGGAAAGTTGTCAGAATCAAAATGGAGTCACTTATGTTAACAGCCCTGACAAACAGAGCCCAGGAAGGCTGTGAAGAGTAGGCTCTCATGCGCGTCCGCCTGGTAACAAAACTATCAAAGATTGCAAACACCACAACTTTACACAAAAAATACTTCTGCAAGGACATCTGCCCAGCAAATGCCTGTCAAACCTAGAATTGGTGTCACCCTTGTTATTGGTCTTTGTAGCCAAGAGTAATCATTTCAAAACAATTATGTAATCCTCCTCATTTCTTCTATAAAAATCTTTATCTTCCTTTACCTCCCTGGATACACACATAGTTTACTATGGCATGTTTGTTCCCATTGCAATGCCCTACCCTAGAGTAAGTATCTCTTTTTTTAAAGAGAGCCTCTCTTTGTCACTTAGTTTGACATTAGTGACTTTGCCTAGTAGTTACATTTTCTGGGCATGCTGGAAGGCAGAGAGGCCTGACCAGAACTTGAGCCAAACTCTCATCCCCTGCTCACTCTGCCTTGGGGTAAACAAATACCTCAAAGCAACAGAAACTCATCTTTGCACTTTGGTACCTTCTTACAAACTCAGAAATTTATTACTGACCTCTGCTTGATTTATTTCTGTTAGTGACAGCCAGTGTTTGCCACACATTAGTGGGCTACAAATGAAGAGTAAGATCCGCTTTCCAGAAAATCAGTCCAATTGGGCAACTAGGCCATGCATACCAAAAATAATTGTTTTAGAAAACAGAAAATAGAATTCTGTAAAATGTTAAATAAAAAATATAGCCAAATACCATAAAGTCTAGGGTGGATAATCACTGCTCAAGAACGTGGATCAGGGTCTATGTTAGCAACACTACTCTGCCTATGCTTGTGTTGCTTTGATAGTTTTATTTTACTTTATTTTATTTGCTAATACTGCATGCCTCCTAAGTACAGGTCCCGTGCTAAGAGCTTAACACATCATTTCATGTAACCCTCACAACAACCCTGTAGTAGCAAAGGTATTATGCCAATTTCACAGATGAAGAAACTATCATGTAAATAACTAAACCAACTTCCCAAAGACAGAAGATAAATGGAAAAGGCAGAATTTAAACCCAAACCTGTCCAACTTCAGAGCCCAGTGTCTTAATCCCTCTGCCTTGCCTCTTGGCTGTATTTCTTCAGGTCGAAGTTTGGAAAATTCCCTTTGACTTAAAGCCAGCTCAGCATGGCGTGTTCCAGCTTTACCACTAAGTGAGGCAGCTGTTTGACCACACACGGTAACAAGCAGTCCGAATTCCCCAATCCAGAGGCACTGTGTGATACTGGGGACAAGGCCTGAGGGAAAAAGTCCCTCTTGATACTAACTCCCCTCCTCCCTGCCTCTTTCCCCTTCCTCAGCAGCAAAATCCAAAATGTTTGGCAAAAGTATCTATAAGTTCAGCCCAGGAAAGCAGCTGGACTTTTATGGAGGTGACACCTTCCCTTGGTTTCTCTCTTGCTTCACATCATTGTTGGCATCCTCTAAAATCCCCTTCTTTGTCTCAAAGAAGAATGTACTTAACACACACACACAAACACACACACACACACACACACAGACACACACACACACAAACAGGAGGCCAAGATAGACTGCTCTGTGGGCTAAATATCATCTGCCTGATTAAGTATCTTCCAAAGCAGCTTCATCAATGTCTACCATCAGGTCCTCACTGGCTGTGAGTGAGGGGGCGGGCGATACCAGGGTAAGCTACCTGCCCCCTTTTGGGGTCAGGTGCAAGTAATGCAGCTTGGATGGCTTCCAAATTTCTGCCGTTACAGTGGCACCACAAATCCAGCCCTTATGGAAGCCTGCTCAGCAGACATCCTCACCTTCACCCAGGACCACACAGCGGTGATACGGAACAGGGGCCTGGTGGTGGTTAGACACTGTCATGTCTCTCCCAAACAGTAGCAGATGGGAAAATTCCATGATTTGGGGCTTCACCTTTAGAAACAAACAAAGACAAGTCAGAAAGGCAGAGAACTGTTGCCTAGAGTTGCTTGGATGATGAGAGAATTTGCTGGTCCCTGCTGTCTACATATCCTGACGGAAAGACAAGGTGATAGGGGCATGGTTCTTGGCGGGAAAAAGAACAGTGAACAGTTCTAGGCCTTCTTATCCTTTTTCTGCCCAAACTGTAGCATCTTCTCCCAAATTCACCCCATTCAGGCCCTGGTCAGAGCATCCCGGAAGCCCAGGTGCTCAAGTTCAGCCCCAGAAATGACAGGAAGGATTAGGCAGATACCAGAGACTTCCCTGTTGACACTAAGTCAGCTTCCAGTGACTTAGTGAGTGTCTGTCAATCTCCTGGGCCTAATCCCTCCTCTGACAGGTTGTGCTGGCCCCGTGGTTTCTCTGAGTCCTGACCCAGGCGGGAGTCACGTGGCTCACACAATCATTAACATCCTTGGTTTGGCCAGGAAAGCTTGGATCGACCATTTTTCAGGGACTCTGAATATCCCAGATCTAGGTGTCCAACCTTTAAGTAGAGATCCTAGAATAAGAAACTGGAAGGTGCCAAGAGCTTTCTTCCCACCAGGAATAGAGAATAACCATGGCAGGAGCAGAGAGGGCCTCTCCCTGATTCTCCAGTGCCCTTTCTCAGAATGCTACGAGGTTCTGGTGGTGCCAAAGCTTTGTAGACTAAAATGTCATGGCAACAGACTTATTTCCTACTTTGTCCTTATTCCTATCATAATCTGTGGTCAAAACTATGGGCCTACCATTCTTGGCAAAGTCCCCCTTCCTGCTGCCTTCTTGACTTCCTGCAAGCCCTCCTTCCTGCCGCAGAAGCCTCCTCTCCACATCCGTGCCAAGGCCTCCACCCAACTCAAATAATGCTGCCTCCATAATGTCATATGCTAACATATTTCCAGAT